GTTGTAGGAGCTGGGAATACAACAATAAATAAGATAAACTGAGACTTTTTCTCATGGAGCTTGCATCCTAACAAGAGGAGACAGACAGTAAACAGTATCAGATGGAGATATGTGCTAACCAAAGAATTAAAAGGGTTATGTGTTAGGGAAAACTTTCCATTTTAAATCAAGTAGTAGAAAAGTCTTTTCTAGGTAGTTGATGTTCAAAGTTATATTTGAGTTATCAGAAAGAGCTATACCTTTCCTCATGGCTCATGTCCTTTGGACTTTTTTGCTAGGTTCTTTTGTGCTTTAATTCTACAAGCATTTCTTAGAGCCCTTTCTCTAAGGGCCTTGACTACTATCTCTCTGCCAATGATTATGATTCTCTTGAGCTATAGACCCAAATATGCCAGTTCTCGAATACTTGGCACTTGGAAGTCATCAATTAAATATGCCCAGTACAGAAGTCATCATTATTAATCGTCCCAAATATAGTCAATTCTCATTATTCATGGTAGTTATGTTCTATAAAGTCACTGGAAACACTGAGTGAGCGAATACTGAGCCATTGTTTTTAGGAGAAATACAGGTTTAGTTTCCTGTGAGCTTCTGGTCACATTTTCATCAACCAATGAATGCATAACCTTGATTTATGAGTGTTTCTGTTTAAGGACATGTTATTTAATATATCTTGTTGATTCGTTAACATTGAACTCATAGCCAACAGCACTATACTCATGCCTGAGAGTTTATCTACCATGTGGGTTTTCTCTGTAAGGCACATCACAGTTTTCTTGAGCTTAGGAACACTAGACAGCACATAAGTACTATTGTTGGGGGCCATTTTAAACAGCAAAATCATCAACCAAAAATGCAGAAATGCAAAAAATGTGGCACTGGATAGACTATGAAAATGATATTCGTTTGCAATATGAAAACTAAAATAAGAAGGCAGAGCATTGCCTTGTTTAAACCTTAGCTAGAAACATGTGCATTAGGCAACTCAAATTTTTCACCCCTCTGCACATGTCTGTTGAATGACTATGAAAGAACTATGAGTATTGCTTTTAGGTTTACAAATAAATTTTAGCATGTAGGCAAATTTGCAAATACAGAATCTGTGAATAATGATCTACTGTTTATTCTGTCTACTTATGTTCCCTCTCTCACAAATGAAAACACCATCAAACAAGTTACCCAGGTTAGAAACTTTCCGTCAACCTTCTTTCCTCCTATTCTTTATCACCCATATCCAATTAAGTTCCTCCTAAATACACCTCAGAGACTGATCTTTTCAATTTTAATTTTTCCTTTTCTTTATTGTACTCTCTGCAATACAACTTCCAAAATATCTAAAATTCTTATGGTTGCTAGAGTACAAATACCTTAACATAATTTATGAAGCTTTCCTGCCTCATCTCTTGTCAGCCCTATACCTTACACCTCAAGTTCCAGCCATGGAGAACTTCTTTCAGATTCTTAGGATATGTGATGCTTTTTTTTCCATTCAGCCTCTTTGTCTCCTCCAGGAACATTTTTTTCCCTTTCTCTCTTTCTGGCTTATTCTTCTGACTCATTTGTCAATTAGAAGCATAAACGTCATTTTTTAAAGAAGCTTTCTTTGACACTTTCCCCACCCACCCCCCCCTACACACCCTACTTTAATCCATAGGATTTTGTAGTTCATTTGAATATAATTGCTTGTTTGTCAGTCTTCCATAGTAGTCTATAAATTCAGTAAGTACAGGTACTGTTCTCAGTGTGCCAATCACATGGTAACCACTTAGTATATATTAAGTGACTTGGTTTTTGGTGAGATTGTGTGTATTAACACAAAACTTTTGGAGCAGTATAATACTAATGACATAAAGTAGGAAAAAATCCAAGTTTTACTTGCCTGCTTATTGTTTTATATCTATTTACTTACGTCTTCAGCAGCTTTTTAAAAAAATGTTAATGATTGAAAGAGCTTGGAGCTTAAGTGAAACCTCTGTAGTTCATCTAGTGACCTCTCTGTGAATAGACAGGCACTTCAGCAATTACTCAACTGGACTGGTCAAACATCTACTTCTCAAATTCCACCTTTAAGTATTGAGTTGACAAAATTGGCAGAGGGAATAGAATAACGAAAGGTGAATTTAGCAGCCACTAAGGAAACTCCAGCTCATTTTTGTAAATGGGAAGCCAGACCTGTTAGATAAATTGGTCTTTTCTTTTGTTTTTATTCTATTGAAGGAATACTTGAAAGGCAAAACTATACCCAGTTTAGAATTAAGTAGAAGTTCATGATTTGGTTTTTATATAGAATTTCATCTTATGTATTTTCTGTCATGTATAACAAAAAATTAAATTAGTGTAGTATGGTATAATTAGAGAGAATGCTTTCTCTAAATTCTCTAGTAAGTGTGTCTTGGCTCCAAAGCATGTTGAATATGTAATGTCACACTATAATAATAAAGGTCCTTTAGGGCTGGTCACCTTAAAATAAAAAGCCCTTAAGTGTGTACAGAACGTAATTAAGATTTAATAATACTACCATGCTGTGAAATGGTGACAAGTTGAGAATAACTTTAACAAACCAACTAGCAGTTTCCTCTTATTTCTCAAATGGAATCATTTGCCGCCTCATTAACGTATGGATGAAAAAAGCCTTGCATAGCTGTTCTAATGTTCGATTTCATTTTATAGGAAGGAAAAATTCGGGTGTACAGTTATAATCACTTTAGAACTTTAAAACTGTTGTTTTTAGGCTACACCAGGGTTCAACATACCATCCATGAACCAAATCCAGCGTGTTGCCTGTTTCTGAATGGCCTGTGAACTAAAAATGGTTTTTACATTTTTAAAATCAAAAGACAAGGAATATTTCATGACAGGTGAAAACTGTGCAAAATTATAATTTGTTTCCATAAACAAGGCTTTATTGGAACACTGCCATACTTGTTTATGTCTTGTTTATGGCTGCTTTTGCACTACAGCAGCAGAATTGAGTAGTTGTCCACCAAGCCCTCATATATTTACTATCCTGCCCTTTACAGAAAATATTTGCCAACCCCTGAGCTACACTAGTGTCTTTACATGACTTAGTACCTTAAGTCAACTTTCCCAATTTTTTAGGACCAGTTTGGGAATGTAACAAATAAATCATCTTGAATAAAGTTCTTCAATTTTTCAGGAAGGCAGAGGAAAACTAAACTAGGTATTGCATGGCATTTATACTTTTTTTTAGGTGGGCAGAGCTTTTACTTTAATCATGGATTTTGTCTTATTTATTTTTAAAATAAGCACTTGCATGAGATACTGTTCTAAAAGCTTTATAACTCCTCTAAATCCTCATTACAACCGTATGATGTTGGCATCTCTACAAATGAGAAAACCGTGGCACACCTATTAGTGAAAGTTAAATAGTGGAACTTAAAATAGTGGTAGGAAGTTATACAGCTATTTATAGCAGTTGTACAGCTAGTAAGGGGCAGAGTCACTATTCAAATGTAATAGTCTCTGGTTTCAAAGTCAGTTTTCTTTACCACTGGTATTCTCTCTTTCCATTTTTACTCTTATTTATTTAGAAAAGCTTTGGATTAAGAGTAGAATTCAGGGCTGGGCGTGGTGGCTCACGCCTGTAATCCCAGCACTTTGGGAGGCTGGGGTGGGCAGATCACAAGGTCAACAGATCGAGACCATCCTGCCCAACATGAGGAAATCCTGTTTCTCCTAAAAATACAAAAATTAGCTGGGCGTGGTGGCGCACACCTGTAGTCCCAGCTACTCAGGAGGCTGAGGCAGGAGAATGTCTTGAACCTAGGAGGCGGAGGTTGCAGTGAGCCAAGATTGTGCCACTGCACTCCAGCCTGGTGACAGAGTGAGATTCTGTCTCAAAAAAAAAAAAAAAAAAAAAGAAGAATTCAGTAATAAGTGGGGTGTGATAATCTAAACACGCTGAGTTTGTATTAGTTTCCTAGAGCTGCTGTCACAAGGCCCCATAAACTGAGTGGTTTAAAACAACAGAAATGTGTTCTATCCCAGTTTTGGAGGCTAGAATTCCAAAATCAAGGCATTGGAAGGACCATTTTCTCTCTGAGACTGGGTAGAATCTTTTGTTGTGTTTTTCTAGCGCCTGCTGGTGATCAACAATCTCTGATATTCCCTGGCTTGCAGCTGCATCACTCTATTCTCTGCCTCTGTCATCGCATGGTGTTCTCCCCATGTGTCTCTGTATCTATTCTTTTCGGCTTTTCAGGACACCAGACATACTCTATTAAAGTCCCACCCTCCACTGATAGGATCACATCTTAATTTGACTAATTACATCTACAATGGCCCTATTTCCAAATACAGTTACATTCTGAAGTTCCATGAAGGACATGAATTTGGGGAGACCCAGTACACAACTCATAAGTCAGATATTATTCTGTAGAGCACTTCTCATTTTAAGGCCAGAAACCCTAAATTAAAAGTGGAAACTGTGCACCAAGAATCTTCATGCTTTTGTTTTTTGTTTTTCGGGTTTAATCCTGTGCTAGATTATACCCTAAGGGGGAATACTAATTTATTGTTCTCAATTCCTGCTTTTTTTCCTGCTTCCCATTGCCTCTTTGTTCAGGATTCATTTGAAAGTTGGTTTTTATTCTGGACATTTTTCTTCTGGAATGTTCTGTGGCTTTTTTAAGGAAAATTTTTCTTACCTGTTATCATAACTTATGGAAAGGTTGGTTTCCCTTCATTCTTGTGAATTTGAGACAGTAGATTCAGAAACCAGCTTTGGTGTGCTGGTGGTTAAGTTCTGGTAGTTTCCTTGTAAGGATATTTTGTATACACTCTTACAGGTTTGTAAGTCAGGTTCAATAAATGGTAATAGTTATTTTTATTTTCTATTGTTATCATCAATGTTAAAATAGCAGATTTTGAGAAATGTGATACTACCTCAAATTCCAGACCTGGGACCTTGTCTTTTCCCTTGAAATATAAGAGTAATTGGTCCAATTGTGTCAACCCATTTTCTTTTCTTTATTTTACAGGGTGCCCGGGAAACATTTGAGAATTACTACCGAAAACAGAGGCGAAAACAGGCTCGTTTGGTACTTCAACCTCCATCTAACATGGTAGGATTACCATCTTCACTTTTCTCACATTTTTACTTTTCCTCCTTGATGTCTTTTGATGCTTGTGTGTGTGTGTGTGTGTGTGTGTGTGTGTGTATACACTGTCATTCTGAGACCACTTTTGGTGGATGTGACTTGCAGTAAGAAAACATTATTCATTGATTGCTGTGTGTCAGGCACTGTTCTAAGTACTGGATGTGTGCTTCTGTATTTCCTCTTCATTGGTAGATAATATTATTATTTTTACCTTATCAGATATCATCTAGGGAGCTGAGCCTTAAGAGATTAAGTGACTGATTTTAACTTAGTCCTAATGTAACAAAACACAAACAGTAACTTCTTCTTCTTTGCTTTGTTGCAGCATGAAACTTTAGATGGCTACAGGAAGTATTTTAATCAAATTGTAGGGTAGGTATATATATATATATATATATTTATTTATTTATTTATTGAAATTTATACTCTTTCCATACATAGATTTGTGAGTGTTGGAAAAATAAATGAGGTTTTCCTTAGTAAATTCTTTTCATTTTCTTTTTTTAATCCTTAAGACAAGATTTGTTTTTGATTTTCTAATGATTTAAAAGGAATATCCTGCTGGTTTCAACATTATGTTGCTGGAGGGCATTTTTGTGGATAAAGTGAGAAAAACAATGAATTGTAATCTTATTACACTTGATGTTTTGTTTCTTTGTTTTTGGTAGATGGAACCAAATAATCAGCAAAAGTTGGCAAACTTTTCCCAAAACGGCCAGATAGTAAAATATTTTAGGCTTAGTAGGCCATATGATCTCTGTCACAACTGATTAGCTCTGTTGTTACAGTGCAAAAGTAGCTGTAGACGATACATAAATGATAAGCATGGCTATGTACCAATAAAACAATCTTTATAAAAACAGGCAGTGGGCTAGGTTTATCCCATAGGCTATATAGTTTGCCACCCTCTTCTAGAATATATATAGTGGTACGGAATTGCATTTCCCAAATAAACATCCCAATACAGGCATCTTGTTCTAATTGCAAAATAATGACTTTGCAGTTAAAAGAAAAGGAAATAACTTGGATTCTTCATCAGGTTTATTTTTTTCAGATTTAAATTGTTTCAATGTAATTAGTTATTAAAATATATCATAAAAATTCCCTAATAAAGACTTTTTTTCATTAATATGAACATTTAGGCAAGACAATGAAAGCTACATTTTAAATGCATAATAACAAAAAGCCACAACACGATTGTTCAAACATAACTTCGCATTTTTGAAACCTTTATACAATGCCTTTTCAGCACTTTGATGACAGAGTCCACATGAAGGGAATTATTTTGATATTTTGTGCATTGGATTCTTAAAAGATATATATAAAGAATACATAATATATATGATGTATATATTAGCTTTTGTGATCTCTTTAAAATTTGTTTTTTTGAAATGTATTGATGGCTGGGTATTTTCTTAATAAAACAAAATTTGCCTCCATTACCTCTACACATTTTCCTCCCTTTTAAACTACTGGATATCATTGTTAACATTTAATAGAAATTTAATAGAAATGTAACTCTAATCTCTCTAGGAGTGGTTATGAAGATATCATGATCACAGACATAATTTTTAATCCAAGTAGCCTGATTTCATTTATGATACTGAATAACTTTCTTCAAGAAAGAAATGACCACTAACTTTGCCTTTGATGGTATCTCTTAATGCTTGTCAAACCCCAGAGAGAGTAATAAAATTGTAATTTCTGACAGCTGTGCTTTCTTTTTTCCTCAATCTTAGCTTTTTTGTGGTTGAAGATCACATTTTACATACAACCCAGGGCTTAGTAAATAGAGCCTACATTGATGAACTGTGGGAAATGGCACTTTCAAAAACCATCGCAGCACTCCGTACCCACTCGGTATGTAAGAAGCCCAAGGGAACTTGTTATTTAGAGCTGATTATCTATATACTATTCAGTGTTTTACCGCTTTAAAATCAACATATGTGTGTCTTTGGAATCACTCACTTGGAATTATATATGTCCTTCAAAGACATAGAAGTAGCTCCTTCAAATTATCACATTTTCTACCACTGAACTCACTTTTATAGAAGCCCTTTGCAATAAGAAAATAGCAGCTAACGTCTATTGATTATTCTCTCTATGTGTCAGATGTTGTTCTGTTTACTTCATATATACTCTCTTATTTCATCCTCACTAAACCCTAGAAAGGTAGGTATTATTATTATTATTATTATTATTATTATTATATTTACCTTATAGTCTGGGAAATTGAACCTCAGAGAGGTTAGGTAACCAGCCTAGTGCCATACAGTAAGAAGTAGAAGTCGGATTGAAACCCAGATGGTCTGACTCTAGAGCCCACGTTCTTAGCCACTATACCATTTTGCCTGCTATAGTGCCTATTAATATTATAAACACTGATTTGGAGTTCAGAGTTCTACTCTTACCTTTTGAAAAAAAATGTTTATAACATATTAAGTGGCCTAATTTTATGTTCCCATGATGTATTGATACATTTTAATGCGGCATATATTTTTGGTGATAATCCACTTTATTTCAGGTGGAGAATGCTGGCTATGAATTCCCTTCCTTCCCTCCCTCCCTCCTCCCTCTCCCTCCCTCCCTTCCTTCCTTCCTTCCTTCCTTCCTTCCTTCCTTCCTTCCTTCCTTCCTTCCTTCCTTCCTTCCTTCAATTCTTAAAGATTGATTATGCTTTGGCAGTGGGAATGTGACAATGAACAAGATAGATAGTCTTTGCTCTCAGAGTTATATTTTGATTGGAAGAGATATCCAATAAACATTGTAACAAGAATGTCAGACAGTGATCATGCAATGCAGACAGTGAAAATAAAATGACAGATTAGGAAACAGGGTGTTTGCTTTTTGAAGTGGCATTCTGAGATTAGAATATCAATGAGTCACCATTTATGCAAAGAAGACCAATTAAATGATCATTTTAGTCCTAAAGAACAGTAGTGCAAGGGCTCTTATCTCAACATGTTTGAGGAATAATAGTGAGGAGTAAATGACAGAAGATAATTTAACATTAAAACAATTTTTTTAAGTGACTGTAGTATCCATCTACTTGTGCTAGCGAGACAGAGTGTTGGTGCCACAAATGCTGACTGTATTTCATAACACTATTTATTAGTAGCACCCAGCAAACAAAATAAGAACAACCCAAACATCAAATTGAATCTCAAAAACACTGTGTCTATGTGACTACATTCTTTATCAAATGTTTCTATATTTTCTAGCATTATATATGGCTATTTAAAATGACTCTTTACTTTTTCTGATTAAATTATTAGTGTAAATTGAAACATTTTGAAAGATTCGATATTTCATGTATTAATATGTGCAGCATTCTCAGTGCTGATTTCAAAACATAAGATCTTGCATAATCTACTTCACTTAGTAAATTTAGCAATATATTAAAAGATTTAATATGCCTAGTATAAAGGAGAGTTCATTTCAGGAATAGTTCAATATTAAAAGATCTGCTAATATGATTGTTAATGATAATATGATAATACTGAAAAAAGTATTTTTAAGATTCAACTATACTAATCAACCTAGTCCTTCAGCCCAAAATATGAACAAACAGCCAAGAGTCATAAAGTATTTGAAGAAAACCAATTATATCACATGGAAGACTACAATAAACAAGTAGAATAGCCGTTCTTTAGCAAATACAAATTACAGGCTAGAAGAAAAATTTACAAAGTAATATTTATGATTTTAGGGATGTAGAAGACTAGGTTATTAGTACCAATCCCTCAGCTGGAAACAATTGGAAATGCTGTATTTTATATATAACATATAAGATATTCATTTAAGTCTTAAAGTACTTAGTAAGGATAGTAAGGAATTGCTCAGCTAAATCAAAGGGAAATGAGTAGATAGATAGGTCAAATACTCAAGCTGCCTTTTTCCTGAAGTTGCTTCTTAGTCCAGAGTTCATAACTCAAACTTGGATTTGCACAGCCTCTTGGGCCTATTCAAGATGGAGAGTCTAATGCGCTGCCCTTCCCCCATTAAGCTGGAAAGGGCTATTCCTTTCAGGATAAGGGTGAACCAGAAGTAGAAGAAAAAACAGTCAAAATTCTTCCGTCAAAGAAATCTCCTATCTAGGCAGTTTTATCCTCAATTTTGTTCTTACATAAATACTCGGAGAATAGACATGAGGAAATGCCAATTCATCTTAATTTTTTTGCGTTATTTTTTTTCTTTTCTCAACCCTGCTTCTTCTGTACCAACTCCTTTTATAATGCATATATGATCTTGCTAATGAAACCAGATGAGAGTAGTATAAGACCTTGTAAATGCATAAATATAGATCAGACTTATTTATAAATATAAATCAGGAATCTTAAAATATTAAAAAACAGAATCCAGCCATTTACAACAAACAATATATTTGGTTGAGTTTCTAGTAGCAAATGCTAGCTTAGTTCAATGTTACAAAGTCTGTTAATATAATGCACATAATTGTAGATTAAAAAACAAAAAATATATAGTCATTTCAGTAGATACAGAAAAGCAATTAATAAAACACACAATAAACTTATGGTAAAATTTCTTAGTAAATTAGAAACTGGAGAGAATTTCCTTAAACTAATAAAAGCAGTCCTCCAAAATGTATTAAAGATAGTCAAGACCCCTGTCGAGAAATTCTAAAATGTCATTCAGAAATTAAAATGGGTTTAAGAAGACCTAAGTAGAATTGAGAGCTATACCATGTTCATTGATTGGAAGAGTTATTATTATAAAGATATCAGCACTTTCAAAATTGACCTATAGATTTAATTTAGTGTCAATCAAATTTCAATAGTTTTATTATAGGGAAGATGGCTGTCTTACAACCTAATTATAATATTTCAAACTAGTACAAAAGCCAAGAGCAAGTGAGAGATTCCTTAAGACTGAGAATAATGTATTTGTATACCAAGACAATTGAAAAATCATATTAAGATCCTCTGATATTGTCATTGGATAGATAATGGACCTTCAAACAGTGTCACATGTATATGGATCCTTGGGATATGTATTAGGTGGCATAGAAGGTCTGTGAATAGAAGACAGACTTAAATGAATAGCAGTGGGACAGCTGACTGTCATGATGAAGGAAAATATACACCAAAGATTGAATTTCAGGTGGATAAAATACGAAAATGTGAAAGCCAAAACCATTCATCTTTTAGAAGATACTATGATAAATTATCTTTATGATTCAGGATATGGAAGGAGTTCTTAACTGAAAACTAAAAGCACTATCCATAAAGGAAAAGATTCAGACACAAAACATCAAACTACGTTAAAATTATAAGAATAAAACCTCACAAAATCTAGTAGAAAAATATGCCACATAGTGAAAAATGGTATTTGTATATACCAACACAAACTAATATAGAATATATGAAGAATTCCTACCAAATCATTACAATAAAGATAGACATCTCAAATAAGAAAAAATGAGCAAAGGACAAACATTTTATGAAAGAAGGAATCCACCTGGCTGGAAAAACATGCAAATTAGAAACAAATGAGGTAACATTATTCAAGAATTAACAGTACTAATGTTGATAAAGATTTGGAGCAATAGAAACTCCAATACACTACTAAGGGAGTAAGTTTAAATTGATAAGACACTTTGCAAAAGTGTAATATCTTATAAACTTAAAGATCCCCATGGATCAACTTTTCTCTAACTATATTATCTTCAGTAATTTGCCATAATACACCATAATAAAAATGCAAGAATATCTTTCCAGCATTGTTGGATTTTAAAATGAGAAATGACTTAAATGTCCATCAGCAGTAAAATAGATAATCTGGGTTAAACTCAAACATTGAATACTATAGAGCCTGAAAATAACCAGAGTATAGCTATATACAATAGCATTCATGAATTTCACAAATATAATGTTAAATGAAAGAAGCGAGAAAGAAAATTATACATATGGCTTATTTCCACTCATAATGTTGAGAGAGAAAATATTGATTAAGTCTCAGTATTTAGGTGGATACAAATTAAGGACAATATAGGAGAATGAAAAGGCTAGCTACAGACTGAGAGAAATCTTTGCAGATCACATATCTGATGAAGGACTGGTGTTCAAAATGTACAATGAACTCTTAAACAAGAAAACAAGGTCAGGCATGGTGGCTCATGCCTGTAACGCCAGCACTTTGGGAGGCCAAAGCAGGAAGATCACTTGATCCCAGGAGTTTGAAACTAGTCTGGGCAACGTAGTGAGATACCGTCCACAAAAAAATTAAAAAATTAACCAGACATGGTGGCATGTGCCTGTGGTCCCCGCTACTCAGGAGCGTGAAGTGGGAGGATCTCTTGATCCCAGGAACCTGAGGCTGTAGTGAGCCATGGTCATTCCACTGCACTCCAAACTGGGAGACAGAGTGAGACCCTGTCTCAAAAAAAAAAAAAAAAAAAAAAAAAGAAACATACTCATCATCCTGTGTCATCAAGGAAATTCGGAACACTAACAACACCAAATGCCTGAGAGAATGTGCCGCATCAGGAATTCTCATTCATTGCTAGTGGGAATGGAAACGGTACAGCCAGCTTTGAGGACAGTTTGACAGTTTTTTACAAAACTAAACATCGTCTTACTATATAATCTAGCAGGTGTATGCCTAGGAGTTTTTCCAAATAAATTGAAAACTTATTTCCACACTAAAACCTTCACACAGATGTGTATAGCAGCTTGTTTATAACTGCCAAAACATGGAAGCAACCATGTTTGTCAGTGGGTGAATGGAGGAACAAACTGTGGTACATTCATATAATGGAATATTATTCAGTGATATAAAGAAATGAGCTATCAATCCATGAAAAGACACAGAGGAACCTTAAATGCATATTGCTAAATGAAAGAAGCCAATCTGAAAAGGCTACATTCTATATGATCCCAACTGTATGACATTCTGGAAAAGGCAAAACTATGGAGAAAAGAAAACTATCCCTGTTGCCTGGGAGTTGGGAGAGGGAGGGATGGGATGAATAGGCAGAGCACAGGGTACTTGGGGGACAGCAAAACAGTTCTCAATGATAATATAATGGTGGAACATATTTATGTATGTGAAATCCCATAGAATATATAACACAGAGTAAACCCTAATGTAAACTCTGAGTTTTGTTTAGTAATATTGTGTTGGTATTGGCTCATCAGTTATAACAATTGTAGCACACTACAATTATTACATAATATTTCAAACTAGTACAAAAGCCAAGAGCAAGTGAGAGATTCCTTAAGATATCCAAGATATTATAACAGGGCAGAAATGATGGAAGCAAGCCAAAGGATAGTATGAATCCAAAATAAAAATTGGCCTCTTAGAAGTTTATGATGATAAGAATTGAGATATTCAGAGATTAAATGGATAAGACCATATATTATGCTGATTAAGAAGATAAAGTCAAATGCATACTCCAAAATACAGAGAGCAAAGACACAGAAATAGGAAGGGAAAGTTAAGAAACAAGGATAGCTGGTGTACACTTTTGGTTGTATTTAATAGAGATTTAGAAAGGAAAGACAGTGACGAAAGAGGGTACTGTAGTAATAAAATAAAATAAGGGGAAATTCCAGTGTAGTGAAAAGAGCAGATTCTTAAAGTTGGAAGGATACATTGAGTGTCAAACAGGGTAAATGACAGGAGACAATTTTTTTATATTGGAAATTTTATATTTTAGTGAGAGGGCAAAATAAAAGCATTTTTAAACGTGAGGATTCAAAGTTTACTCTTTACCCATCCTATATTTATATTTATTTTTATTTTTGATATATAATCTTGCTTTGTTGCCTGGGGTGGGGTGCAGTGGTGCAATCTCTGCTCACTGCAACCTCTGCCTCCTGGGTTCAAACAATTCTCGTGCCTCAGCCTCATGAGTAGCTGGGACCACAGGCATATGCCACCATGCCCAGCTAAGTTTCGTAGTTTTAATGAGGATAAGGTTTCTCCATAATGGCCAGGCTGGCCTGGAGTTTCTGACCTCAGGTGATCCGCCAGCCTTGGCATTCCAAAGAGCCAGGATTACAGGCGTGAGCCACCACGCCCAGCCTCTTTACCTATCCTATCTTTAAGAGCTTCTTATTCTTCAAAAAATAAAAACAAAATGCAAAATATCAGATGAGATAGGATTAAATAAAATGTATGCCAAAATTAGTACAATTCATAGATAAATCTAAATAATGTATTATTATTTGTAATTAATGCTATTAATTCCTACAAAAGGAGAGACATCATGTTTAAGTTTTTTTAGGCCAAGTGTGGTGGCTCATGCCTGTAATTTCAGTACTTTGGGAGGCCAAGGCAAGTGGATTGCTTGAGCCCAGTAGTTTGAGACCAGCATGGGCAACATAATGAAACCCCATCTCTACAAAAAACAAAAAAAATTAACCAGGTGTGGTGGCTTGTGCCTATAGCCCCAGCTACTTGGGGGTGCTGAGGTGAGAGGATTGCTTGAACCCAGGGGGTCGAGGCTGCAGTGAACTGTGATCCTGCCACTGCACTCCAGGCTGGGTGACAGAGTGAAACCCTGTGGGGGTTTTTTTTTTGTTTTTTTTTTTGTTGTTGTTGTTGTTGTTGTTTTAATGAAGACTCCAAATTTTACTTTCAGTAAATAATGGGCAAAAAGGATATAATTTATTAATCACGAAAAGATAATTAAAAAGAGCTGACCCAATAAAAACACTAATGGAAATTTTAAAAAGCGTACCGAAAAGTGGCTTGAGTAGGTTTGTAAATGTCAGTAATCCCAGGTTTATCAATCCGTTTGTGTTGCTAAAAGTAATACTTGAGACTGGGTAATTTGTAAAGAAAAGAGGTTTATTTTGCCCAAGGTTCTGCAGGCTGTACATGAAGTATAGTGCCAGCATTTGCTTCTGGTGAGGGCCTCAGGAAGCTTAGAGTCATGGTAAAAGGCAAAGGGGAGTTAGTGTGTCACATTGTGAGACAGGGAGCAAGGGCAAGGGGTGGGTTTGCCAGGCTCCTTAAACAACTACCTCCCACATGAACTCATTACCTCAGGGAAGGGCAGTAGGCTATTCATGAGAGATCCAAACACCTCCTATTAGGTGCCACCTTCAACACTGGGGATCATATTTTAATGTAAGATTTGGAGGGGATGAATATCCAAACCATATCACTAGGAAATGACAAAGCATTAAAAACTTTTATACTATGTTTATAGGAGATATTCATAAATTAAGATTAGCTGAAAAGATTGAAAATAAAGAAGGGGAAGCAGAAGTGGTGGTATTCTACAAGGAAAATAGAAATGAATTTGAAGATCTTAAAACGGGATAGGAGAGGGGTATTTTGTATTAATACTAGTTTTAATCTAATGAAAAGGTAATAGCCCATTTATAAGGAAGCATCAATATGTGTAAAACAAAAACTGTTTGTAATGGGAAGAGACATGGACAAGCTGCATAATTACGGGAGAATTCAAAACACCTGTTTCAGGACTTGAGCGATCAATGAGAGAGCAAGTAACAAAAATTATAATTAAAGAATTTGAATAACAAAATCAATGAACTTTTACAAAAATGACATACACATCTTTGTATCCTACCCACAGAGTTTATTTTCCATGTCAGTTAACTTTTCTAATTTGTAGATATGAGGTTATACATGGACATTATTTGTAATTTTTATTTTCCTCTGTACTTATTGTCTCTTTTGTATTTCTTATATATTTTTTCTTTATGGTAAGGTTTTGATTTTTATTTATTTAACTTTTTTATTATACTTTAAGTTCTAGGGTACATGTGCACAACTTGCAGGTTTGTTACATATGTATACATATGCCATGTAGGTGTGCTGCACCCATTAACTCGTCATTTACATTAGGTATATCTCCTAATGCTATCCTTCCCCCCTCCCCCCACCCCATAATAGGCCCCAGTATGTGATGTGCCCCTTCCTATGTCCAAGTGGTCTCATTGTTCAATTCCCACCTATGACTGAGAACATGCAGTGTTTGGTTTTTTTTGTCCTTGTAATAGTTTGCTGAGAATGATGGTTTCCAGCTTCATCCATGTCCCTACAAAGGACATGAACTCATCCTTTTTTATGGCTGCATAGTATTTCATAGTGTATATGTGCCACATTTTCTTTTTTTTTTTTTTTTTTTTGAGACAGAATCTCGCTTAGTCGCCCAGGCTGGAGTGCAGTGGCGCGATCTCGGCTCACTGCAAGCTCCGCCTCCCGGGTTCACGCCATTCTCCTGCCTCAGCCTCCCGAGTAGCTGGGACCACAGGCGCCGCCACCACGCCCGGCTAATTTTTTTGCATTTTTTTTTAGTAGAGACGGGGTTTCACCGTGTTCGCCAGGATGGTCTCGATCTCCTGATCTCGTGATCCGCCCACCTCGGCCTCCCAAAGTGCTGGGATTGCAGGCGTGAGCCACCGCGCCCGGCTGCCACATTTTCTTAATCCAGTCCTATCATTGGTGGACATTTGGGTTGGTTCCAAGTCTTTGCTGTTGTGAATAGTGCCGCAATAAACATACGTGTGCATGTGTCTTTATAGTAGCACGATTTATAATCCTTTGGGTATATACCCAGTGATGGGATGGTTGGGTCAAATGATATTTCTAGTTCTAGATCCTTGAGGAATCGCCACACTGTTTTCCACAATAGTTGAACTAGTTTACAGTCCCAAGAACAGTGTAAAAGTGTTCCTATTTCTCCACATCCTCTCCAGCACC